CTGTTGCTTGCTGTATCAAAATATGAGACTGGGCAAGTCACAGAGAAGTCCGTTTGGCTCCTGGCTTTGGAGGCCGTGGAGTACAAGGGCACGGCATAGTGGAGGCTCTTGTGCTACGCTGAGACATGATGGACAACACTTGGCGATGCAGAGCAAGCCAGCACAGGTCTCTTCCTCCAATAAAGGCACCAGTGTCAGCATGGGGTCCCACCCTATGACATCATCCCATCCCAATGACTTCTGAAAAGCCCTGTCCAGGTAGCATGGAAATAACAAATTTAGGGATTAAGTTTTCAGCACATGAACTTCAGGGACCACACTTAAGTTACAACATGTGTGCAAAGGAATAAAAGATATTTGTGAATGTTCACCTCCTCCCACTGGAAGCAAGGCCAGGGAGTGGACACTCTGGGAGGCTCTGGGTCTGAACTTACTTCCTAGGGCTGTGCAGGGTGGGTGGGGCTCCCACAGGTGTGTAAACAGAAGCTCCTTCCCCAGAGCGTTAGGAAGAGGCCCAGGCAGAGAAAGAAGCCCCCGACTTTCCCTCTTCTTGCCCTCTGACCCCTTGGCTCTTCTCATAGTCCTGAGGTCAGAGTCTGTCTGACTAATAAAGTATGAAGAGATACGGTGATATTTTAATTGTACTGAAATGTGATTTTATTTGTATGTTAATAAAGTTGCCTGGGGGACAGAAAAAAAAAAAGACACTTGTGAGGGCCGAGAATGTAGCTTAGTTAGCAGACTGCTTGCCTAGCATGCATGGCACTGGTTTTATACCCAGCACTGCATAAACTCAGCCCATACTTGTAACCCCAATGCTTAGGAAGTTGAGGCTGGAGGATCTGAAATTCAAGGCCATCCTTGAATACATATTGTAAGGCCAGTCTGGGATACATGAGACCGTTTTTGTTTGTTTGTTTGTTTGTTTGTTTGTTTTGTTTTTCTTGACAGGGTTTCTCTGTATAGCCCTGGCTGTCCTCGAACTCAGAGATCCACTTGCCTGTCTGAGTGCTGGGATTAAAGGCGTGTGCGCCGCCCACCCAGCTTTTTGGTTTTTTTTTTTAAAGGCATTTATTTCACTGACTTCGCCTCCTAAACACCCAGCTGTCTCCCAGAATATCAAATTATTTCAAAGGACAGCACAGGAGTAAATGCTTTCTAAATGGGGCTTCCATGGTTAGTTTGAGCCTAGTTTATCTTTTAGGAAAGGTGCAGGTGTCTAGGCACAGGGGGCCTGCTCATAGGACTGATGGGGGTGTAGGGTGGTGCTGAAGTCCCTTGGGGTCCAGAGCTACCCCATTTCAGGAAGTTGGTTCCTGCCTCCATCAACTGGACCAGGTGCCACAGAAAGGAAGGATTTCTCGGACACAAAGGATCCCGTTTAAAGGCCGAGAGCAGCCTGGATGCTCACAGCTGCTACTCACCTACAGGGACAGAGACGGCTTCATTCTCAACTGTCTCCTACCCTGGGAATGGGAAACACTTGCCCTCCAGCCGCGCCCCCCCCCCCCAGGCTGTCTGCGCTCCTCATCTCATCTTTATCCCAGTCCTACCCTCCAAGCTCATTATCAACAGCATGCATCTGCGACCATGAAGACAGATCCGTGAGGGGCCTGCTGTGTGGGGCCGGGGGCCCTGGAGACCCTTTCCCTTCAGCTGCAGAGCGTCCTGGCTCGTCCTGGCTCATTTTAAGTGACCTACTTGCTTTTACAGACTCGTGTGTCAGACAGCTCAAGGTGAATGACTCTCAGCTCCATCCAAGCTCAGCCAGAGGCTGGACCAGGGCCAGCTTGCCCCCCCTCAGAGCGATTAAATAGATAAGCTGCAAGGTTTGCCCTGGGGCTTAGACCCAGCGAGGGGCAGATTCTATACACATCTTTCTTCTTAGCCTGAGTCCTCAAATCGGCGTTTCTTCTGTGAGTTTGGTTAACTCAGCTCATCTGTCTCTTTCGCTGTGATGACAGACAAACTCTTTCCGGACAAGGAATTCCAGAGGAGGACAGACCAAGTGGATGTAAGGATAACCACAAGTCACTTCCAGAGGGAAGGTGCTTACTTGTGGGGCGATGAGTCCCAGATCCAATGCTGGGCAGGCATTTTCCTGAGATGAGTCTGGCCACAGCATAGGCTGCATGACTTCAAAATATGTTTTTCAACACAAAGGTGGGTTTTTGTTTTGAAGTAACTGTTATCTTGCCTTGAATTCCTGAATTTAAGTGATTTTCCTGCTTCAGACTCCCGAGTGGCTGGGAATACAGGCCCTCAACTCAAAACCAAGATTCACTGCTGTCTAAAAACCCCAAAGTACTGGGTGTGGTGGCACACACCATTAATCCCAGCACTCAGGAGGCAGAGGCAGGGGGATCTGTGTTTGAGGCCAGTGTGGTCTACATAGGGAGTTCAGGTCAGCCAGAGCTACATTTGAGACCCTGTCTAAAAACCAAACCTGGTCTAACCAAAAAACCTCACAGCATCAAGAGTCCAGAGAAATTTTTTAAAAATATATTTATTTTAGATTATGTGCTTGTGGATATGTGCATGTGAGGCACTGGATCCCCTGGACCTGTAGTTACCAGCAGTACACTGATATGGAAGATCACTGACCTCAGTGGGCCATGGGACGAGGATTCAGGATCATACGGAGTATCTGCATGGTCAGATGAACTCCCCTTCCTGAGGACCATGAGTTAGACAGATGTGGAAATCCTGAACACTGATCCAGACCAAAAAATAAGTGGTCTGCTATTTTCTGAGCCAGAGTCTCGCCGTAGCCCAGCTTGGCCTCAAACTTCCTACTCAGTCTCGGATGACCTGGTCCTTCTGGTCCTCCTCTCTCATCAGAGGCCGGAGTGCTAGGATTTCGGGTATGTGCCATCACACCTGCCCCATATGGTGCTGGGTGGGAACTGAGCTACATCTCCAGTACTCCCCCTCACCCCCAACACACGCTTTTGAGATCAGGTTTCACTGTGTGCTTTGGCTGGCTTTGTAGACCAGGCTGACTTTCAACAGAGATCCACCATCTCTGCCTCCTGAGTGCTGGGATTAAAGATGTGCACTACTACCAAAGCCCTCTCTCCTCCCGAGGTAAGGTCCCATTTAGTCCAGACTGGCCTGGAACTAACTAACTAGCCAAAGATGACTGTGAACTCCTGATTCTCCTACTTCCACTTTACAAGAGCAGAGACTACAGATAGGTGTGAATATACCCAGCTCTTTTTTTCTCCTTTTCTTTTTTGAGATGGTGTATCACTGTAGCCCAGGCTAACCCAGAACCCACCTCAATCCTCCTGCCTCAGTCTCATGATTATTGGGGTTACAGGTACGTGTCACTGCAATTGGTTTATATGATGCTGAGGATCAAACCCACGGCTTCAGGCATGCTAAGCACTCCTGAGCTCTGTCCCAGTCCACACACACCCTTACCAAACTTCACGATGCCCTCCCTCCTCTACATCTCCTGAGGAGGCCCCGGTAGTGCCAACCTTGAGAGAGAAACCAGCTCAGCTCACCCACCAAGCTATGAAAAATCTTTATTGTTTTATTTTTCTCCCTTAGATAGACTTTCAGTTGGAATAAGAGGCCACAGGACACTTGCACTTCCTCAGAGGGTGAGCCTGGCCGGTGCTGTAAGAGTGAGCTGAGAGCCACTGCTGGGATAGAGCACGTCACCACCAGGGCTCAGCTCTGAGGGAGTCACAGGAATTGACTGAAGGTGGCGACACCCTACTTTATATAATCTCCCGAGTGAGGGGAGACTGAAGAACCCCATCTGTGCCCAGGAGCTCAGCCACATCTCCAGTCATGCTGAGCTGGTTTTCGAGTGTCTGTATGTGTGTGAACTCACACTGTGCCTGCACACACACACACACACACACACACACACACACACACACACACACACACACAAACACACACTGTTCCTCTCCAGGAATGATGCCTTCAGCGTAGCTGATTCTCCACTGTCCTTGCTCCCTGGAACTCAATGGCCTTGGCATGTCACTGTCATCTAACAGTGACCATGTGCTGGAGGATACGGGGTCTTAGCTATGACATTCGAATTCTCCTCCTGGAACAAGGCTGGTCGGTGAAAACCATCCATCAGCAATGAGGTACCCCAGGGCTTGATCTCAAGACATGTTGGCATTGGGCTGTACACTCCCTGACACATGGGAGGCCTAAAGCCCCAAGAAGGGAAAAGGCATGTAGGGGTAGGGTGGGTGAGATGATAACTCAGACCCTCCTCAGGAGTCGCTGTAAAATGTGACCCTGAGGGCTAGCCTGTGGGGCCCACTGTTGAAGGTCTAGCTGGTCCTCATCGTGGGCATTTTATAAAAGAAGCCTTGTTTCTGTCCCTTCATGGCTTGGAGAGATGCCGTGTAGTGGAGCGTGGGCTCAGCTCGAGCACACCTGCTACCCAGGGGTTCTGGGAGTGAAACTGGGGTGTCTGCTTGGGTAAGGACCCTCTTAGGATCTTCAGGATCTGGTGATGCTGAGTCTCAGGGAAGGGAGTGTGTGTGGTGGGGGGTAAGGGCAGCCAAGAGAATGGAGCTGCCAGCCAGTGCTGCTGTGCTTAGCATTGGGCTGGCCAGGGAAAGGGCTGCATAATTCATTCTCACCCCAGGAAACTGGCTGGCTGCCAACTCTCAGAACTGAGTATATAAATCCTGCCTCCTGGTCGGTCACCCCTGAGGTCTGGGCTGCCGGCTCACAACACAAGGCTCCTTGGGGGCCCTGTTTTCCAGCTCTGGACCCTGCTCGGGGTCCCTGGGGTCCCTTTGCTGGTGGAGGCAGGTGTGGTCGTCAAAGCACAGCAATCTCCAGGTGTACCCTCAGGCCTCAAATATGCAGCAGAGTGGAAGTAAGACCATGGCAACGGGAGTCAGGGCTGAGCCAATGGGAAACCAAACCCACATACTGAATGCCAATCAAATTCAAACACAAACCCAATACGTGAAGGCAGCAGCAAGCTCTTTGTGTAATAAATATTGCAAAGCTCATCTGGTTTCTTTCTTTTCTTTTTTCAAGTCAAATCTAACAATCAATATCCCCAAACCCTGTTCTCTGCATCAGAATAGAGGAGGAAGTTGGTGATGTGAGCACAACACCTGCAGCCAATCAAAGAAAAGACCATTTCCCACAAGCCAGCCAATCCCAATCTTTTTCCAGTTTAAGCAGCCAATCAGGCCTCTTCACGTTCCTGAAAAATGACCTAAATAAAGCACCAGAGCTCGGAGAGCTTCCGGGGAAGCCAGACACCGAGGCGCAAATTTTTAAAAAAATAAAGAGTCAGAAATAAAAATAAAAGGTTTCCGTTGGTCAAGATTTAAAAATAAAAAGGTTTCTTCCTGCAGCCAATCACGAGTCCATCCCTTCAAGCCAATCACAAACCACCACTGGCATCTCCCTCGATGTCAGCCCTGCTGAGTGGCTGGGGTGGGGAGGGTTGGGTGGGGTGAGGGGAGAAGAGGGAGGGAGGAAGGTGGTTTGCTACCGCTCAGCTCAACCGGTAGAGGAGCCCCACAGATCTCCAGGCCCTCAGTAGCTTTCAGGGTGTTCCAGGGGCTTTCAGCTACTGCCTCCGGTCTTCCGTCTCCGACCTGGAAAACGCCATCACCACGTCCTCTGCACCTGCAGACCAAGGAACAAGAACTGCTGATGGTTTCTGGTATCAGAACAAGGCAGAACGGCCGTGCTCACCGTGGAGCATCCCTTCTCTACCTTCCCACCCCTGGCAAAAGGGTGCAGAGTGCTTCAAAGTGGCTGGGGAGGTAATTCACTTGGCAGGGAGCTCGTCCTGCACGCAAAACCCCTGGGTTTAGTCCCTAGCACCACACGAACTGGGCGATGTCACTGACCCAGTACTGAGGAGGTGAAAGCAAGGGGATTAGAAGTTCATGGTCCTCCTTGGCTACATAGTGAGTTCAGGGCTAGCCTGGGGTACATGACAACCTAAATAAAAGAGGGAAGGAGAAGAGATATGCTTCTAATTCAGTCCATCTCCCCCCTTGTCTTCCTGCAGCCAAGCTGGGGACATGGCAGTGATCCCAGCCTGATGCAAGGCTTCAGGGTGTGGTCCAGAGGCTTGTTCAAGGCCACACTGCTAAGACAAGAGACAGGTCTTTGGTCCTGGAGCAGGGCTCTGCTCTGCTCACGTCCCTTGTTCCAAGGGCACCACAGTAGGTGGGAGGCAAGATTTTCTTGGGAACCTCTACTTTTCAAGTTTAGATCTTAGAGCTGGAGAGATGGCTCGGAGGTTAAGAGCACTTATTGCTCTTGCAGAGGACCCAGGTTCAGTTCCCAGCACCTACATGCTGGCTCACAACCATCTGTAACTCCAGTTCCAGGGGATCTGACACTCTCTTCTGACCTCCATGGGCAAAATGCTCATATACATCAAATAAAATACACACACACACACACACACACACACACACACACACACACACACACACACACATGTTCTTTTTTGAGACAAAGTTCTGTGCAACACCCCTGGCTGTCCTAGAACTCACTTTGTAGACCAGGCTGGCCTCAAACTCAGAGATCCACCAGCCTCTGCCTCCTGAGTGCTGGGATTAAAGGCGTGTGTCACCACTTCCTTTGTCTTGTTTTCCCTAAGACAGGCTCTGATACTTGGCCAGAAGAGGCAAGGGGAGGAGGGAAGGAGCGAGCTGGCTGTGCCTCTCTGTCCTCGCATCCCACACTACCTGTCTGCCTTTTCTAACTGCTGGTCCAGCATTTTGCCCTGAACAGTAACAGTCAGGCTGCCTGTGGCCTTTCTGGCGTACTTCCCTTCTGCAATATTGGAGGCAACCTCCCTGGAAGAGGCAGATGGGAACAGTAGGGGCAGGAAAGGCCTCCAAGGATTGGGTTGGGTGGGGGTGGGGTGCAATTGAGCCTCTGGCACTTGGACTAGGGTCAACACTGTGTTAGCTATCCTTGTCCACACAAGGGAGTGCTTCCGGCACACCCTGCTGCTTGGAGGAGCCAGGAGGCACCTCAGGTGGCGCTGCAGAAGGGTGGCACGTGTGATACATGACAACTGGAAGTCCTGCCTTCACGTCAGCACCGTGGTGCTAAGGCAACTTAATCTGTCATCTACCCACCCTGTTTCTGCCTCTGGGATTCTGTACTTATCAGCATTCTTGAAAGGGAGACAAGCCTCCAGAAAGGAGCATAGATATCTGGCTTCTTGGGAAGAGACACCTTTGCTTGAGAAGCCCTATGAATCCTTTCTGTTTGCTCGGCAACATTCTGTTCTTGCTCCAGTCCTGGGACCACGCAATATCGCTGCAGGCAGGATTGTCCTAGCAACCACAGACTCCGGGATTACATCATACTCCACATGGCAGCCGAGCTGGGCACCTAACAGACACTCATTTCTCCAAGGGCTGCCTCCAGCTTGCTGGGCATGAGCAAGATTGCCAGTGTTGGCAGAAGATGCTTCTGTGGCAGTGAATGGTGACAGCCCACTCTTTCTCATCTGCCTCATAGGCTTTCTCAAAGGGACCCTGGGCCTCTGCAGTGAGGTGCAGGGGCAAAAATCCGCACTGGGTCCCCAGGAGGGAATGGTGACTATGCAGAGGGAATGGGCCACCGGCTCCTTGGAGAAGCTCAAATCCCCATCACTGAGCTCTACAGGCTGCTCAGTGGGTACATACCCTGTACTATGAAGACAGGAACTGTGCTGGCTAGTTTATGTCAACCTGATACAAGCTGAAGTCATCTGAAAGGAGGGGACCTCAACTGAGAAAATAACCTCCGTAAGATATGGGTGTAGGGCATTTTCTTAAAGTGACTGATGGGGGAGGGTGCAGCCACTGATGGGTGGGTCCATCCCTGGGCTGGTGGTCCTGGGTTCTACAAGAAAACAGACTGAGCAAGCCATGGGGAGCAAGCCAGTAAGCAGCTTTCCTCCATGGCTTCTGCATCAGCTCCTGTCTCCAGGTTCCTGCCTTGTTCCTGCTCTCACTGCTTGTGATGATGAACATGGAACTGTGAGTGAAATAAACCCTTTCCTCTCCAAGTTGTTAGGTTATGGTGTTTCAGTGATAACAACAGAAACCCTAACTAGGACAATGACCTTCTCAAGGTCACACAGTCACTCTGATAAGTATGTAACAAGACACGTAGAGCAAAAGCTTTGTGAGAGTTTTACCCTCCCACACTGCCAGCTGGCCACATACTCCCTGAATGGAATCCACAGGCCTCATTTCAGAGCCTCTGCTCTGTTGCTGGGGCTGCAGAAGTCCACAGAGGCTCTGCCCATCCCACACTTTCTCCCGTTTCCAACAGACTTGATGACCACTGGGACCTTCCTTCCTTTGAAGTCAAAGAGAGGGCAGGCTGAAGGTCCTCCAGAGCATCTTTTGACCTCCATATCATTAGTGGAGCAGGTACTCATTCAGTTAGAGCCCAAGGATGCTGGTGTTCCCTCTCTTCTCAGGAATTTGGACCAGCAAACAAAAAGGATGGGAGAGCTGCTCAGACTGTCATCATGGCTTGAGCCCTACAACTCAGTTCCTGAGCCAGAAGGGGCACGCAGCTCCCTCACAGACCCTCTTGGCTGTCCTGTAATGCCCATCCTCTACCCCCAGGTCAGCGGTCTGTTTCTTTTGTAAGGCTCCACCTTTCCCATTGGTACCTTCTGTCTGAACTTGTGCTCAGCACTTCTGTGCATTGCTTCCCACCAGATGCACGTAAGCCCAGGCAGGGGGGCTCCTCAGACACCCCTGAGTCTTCTCTAACAAATTAAACGACAGGAGTACTGAAACCGGACAATGCATCACACGCACACACGCACGCACGCACGCACGCACGCACGCACAGATGTGGACCTCCTATGAATATAGACAAAAAGGCTAACAAAGGCTAGCAAAATGTGTAGAACAACGTATCAAAAGGGATCATATATCCAGACCAAATTATTCTAGGAATGCAAGGCTGGTTTAACATCTGAAAATCATTTGATGTAATATGGTCTACCAACAGAATAAAGTACAAACTCCACACCATCACCTTACACACAAAATGAATCTAACAGAATCCAGCATCCCTTCATGACAGAAGATGCACTGAACAGGAAACATGGGGGTTTCCAGCCTGATAAAGGGCACCTACAATACCAAAACTGTCACCATACTGCATGGCTAAAACTCACCCCAGCAAGACGGGAACGAAAAATTCTGTCTGTTCTCCACACTCTTCCTCAAATTGATTTTTGCTTTGCTTTGGACATTTGAGACAGGGTCTCATGTAGCCCAGACTTCCCTTTGACTGACAGGCCTCTTGCCTCAGCCTCCCCAGTGCTAACATTTCAGACATGTGCCACCACACCTGGCTTCTCTAGATTGTTCTGAAGTTCATTCCTGGGCAATTAGGCAAAAATAAATAACTAAATAGCATATACATTAGAAAAAAGGAAGGAAACTATTTCTATTTGTGGATGTCATAATCTTATAAGTAGAAAATGCTCTGCAAATTCTACTTACTAAAAAGCTATCAACTGGTAAATATGATAAAGTTGTAGGGCATAAGACCAATATGCAATTCTGTTTGCATACACTAGCAATGAACAATCTGAAAATGAAATTAAGAAAATAATTTTATTGATAGTATCATTCATTAACAATACTACAACACTTAGGAACAATTTTTATTACATTTACTCATTGCTGTGTGGGTAAGAATGTGTGTGCTACAGTACATATGGAGATCAGAGGACAACCTCAGAGGTCCCATCTCTCCTTTGACCTTGTGTGTGTGGCCTGGAGAAAGAACGCAGGCCTTACACTCTAACCACTCAGAGAAACAAAAAAGTTGAAGTCATCTGGCAGTGGTGGCGCACGCCTTTAATTCCAGCACTTGGAGTCAGAGGCAAGCAGATTCCTGTCAGTTCGAGGCCAGCCTGGTCTACAGAGAGTTCCAGGACAGCCAGGGCTCCACAGAGAGACAAAAAACAACAAGTTGAAGTCCATTACCCACTCACCCTGCCCTTTTCAGTGATGGATTAAATGAATCTAGGGCACAAGAAGGAGGGGTAGACTTCCACTGAGTCTCTTCTCCAGTTTAACTCAGGCTTCTAGGAGACAGGGTCGAACTATGTAGCTAGCCCAGGCTGGCCTCAAGCTCACACTCATATCCCTCTGTCTGCCTCCTGAGTGCCGGGGTTCCAGCCCTGGCCAGCGAGCTCCTTAGAGCAGCTCTGCACCATTCTGGAAACACAAGTCCAAGTTCCCAGGAGGAGCTGCTCCTGGACACATGGACAGGCAGGAGGAGGGACAGACACTAACAGCGATAAGCAGCGGAGGAATCAGCTCGCCCTGAACAACCGCATACCCTTTGGCCATTCTGAAACAGTGCCCAGCCTCGCTGCTCAGGCAGCTGTGGTCATCTTCAGCGTTCTCAGCTCCACGACGGTGGGGGCTGGTGAAACATGGTCTCACGAAGCCCAGGCTACCCTCGCCTTGTGACCTACTAGTTCCCAAGTGCTGAGATTACAGGTGTGCATCTCACACCCAGTTTCCTGAGGTACTGGGATCAAGCCAAGACTTCAGGAGTGCTGGGCAAGCAGTCTTCAACTGGATTATGCCCCCAATCCCATTAATCTGATCTGTTCTCCACAGTGC